TCTGTAAAAAAGGACCAAAATTTTTTTTTTTTTTTTTTTTTTAATACATATATGAAGATTTTCAGAGGTACATGTCTGGTATAACTGAAAGGACTGGACTTCCACTTAAATTACAGTATACCTAAGTCTATGCAATTGTGCATCATATTAGTTTATGTTGGTTTAAAAGTTAAGGTTTTTTAAAAAGATTGTCTAGCTAGACTTCTTAGTTTTTACGAGGTATAAGTTTCTGTACTTATGTTGAAAGACTTTTTTTGGGCACACTGGTCCTTGAAATCTCAATGCAAGTGGGGAATATATGTTAACTGAAAGAGCAGTACTTCACACTGCCCACAAGAGTTCCCGTGGTAAGACTACAATGAGTGAATTAAATTTAGTTAGCTTTTTACCTACAGGGAACATGCAACTATTCTGAAAGCCACCTATACCTACAACTCTGATACTGCTTGGGAGAGATGACCCCAATTCTAGCAAACAGCACGCATGGTATTTATATGTGGCTTTTAAGAAAAATCTTATATTACAAATCCTCTCTACTGTTCAAAGCTAACTGCAAATATAATTATTACATTTCCTCAGCATCAACTTATGTGCTTGCTGCATGCTCACATCAAACTAAAAGGGGGATCCAGCTTAAGACTTTCCAAGCCATCAGTCTTAAAAAAGAACATTAGAGTGACCAAAGATGCTGAAGTGGGCTGATTTCCATCCTGCAGTTCAGGTGGGGAACATTTTGGGGGCTCAGTGCGAGGACACTTAACTGTAAATAGTTCCTTTGTTGCAAGCATCGCTGTATGCAAGGGGTCCTACAGGGGAGGGGAGAGAGACAGAGAGAGACCAGACAAGTCTTCTCAAAAGCTTCCCCTCAAGAGTGGCATGGCCCATGACAAATAGAATCTCAGTATTAGTTTTCAGCTCTGCCGTGAAACCCTATAGTGCAACTGTGATACCATATTTGCTATACATGCAAGTATTTACATGGATGATAATTTGCACATCGTCCCTTCAGATGTTACCGCAAGACAGTGCTAGTGTGTTTGTTTAATAATGGCCCCAGTTTATAGGAGTGGTATTAATGTGATAAGTATTGCTTCGTGCTTTGAATCAGAGGAGTAGGCTTTAGAGAGATAAAACACCAGTCCTGGCTCTAAACTGTTTTTTTGGCCCATTACAACAGAAACCCTGCTCAAGAATGGAGAGACTAAATGGAGTCAGACAGGTTCCTGGTCTCTTAAAGCCCAACAACTAAGGCTTTAATGTATGGAATGTTTTTTTGCAAAGCACTGGAAAGCTCCACCAGACTAGCATCGTATTTGGGCAAGGTTTCTTAGGTAACTACTAGGTCCAAAAATCATTTTGTCACGTGACATCAAAAACAAAGGCAAATCAGTTTCAGAGGGAAAATATATGACTTTAGAGTTTGTGTTCTTCATCAGGGAGAGGCAAGAAGTAATTCAGAACAATCCAGAACAATGCAGGTAATGTTTGTAATGTAATACCCCACATTACAAATTTGATTTGTGGGGTAACAGCAGCAGCAATGGGCTCTCTTTCTGGCCTTTGCTAGGAAGCTAGCCAAATGTCTGATCAGTAACTAATCCAGATTACAAAAGACACTAGGATTTAGGGTGATGGTTATGTATTGTATGTATTACAGTAACACAAAGAGACCTGTCAAGACTGAGGCTGTACTGCACTACGCTCCAGATACCACATGAAGGTGGTATCTCTACCAGAAACATTAATAACTGTCTTAAATTGTCTTGTTTTCACAAGCGTCAGAGAAGCCAACAAGCAAACAATTGGCAAAAAGCTTCATCAATAACTTTTCCCATGAAATGAGATGGATGGTAACCTCTTCCCCATCCATTTTGTGTGTACAAATAATTTCTCGTATATTTGAACCCTTTGCTTCTAGAAAACTTTTCTAGTTCAACACTTTTGGAGTTTAACAACGTTATTCCCAGAGAAATTGATTTAATTTGTTCTGTAAAATTTCACTAGCATTTAAAATTTCACAAGCTAATGCCTCCAAGGGAAAAACAAAGCCATTAACAACACTTAATAGATGAACTTGGCGAGCCAGAGCTGTTTCATCTGCTGGACAAAGGAAATTAACCAATCTACATGGCCAGAACTAGTGTAGGGGGCTGATTTTGCAAGTGCTTTCTATTTCCTGTCTCCATCTGCTGATGCCAAGATGTAATATAGTCTGGACCAACTATAATCTGCAATACAAGAGAGAATTCTTCTCCACTCCCTTCTGATGTTTTGGCAATAAGGAATCTACTCTACCGAGTCAAAACAACAAGATGCATGAACCAGCAATCTGAAGTCTCTGCTTTATATATCATGGTAGTCTATTCAGAAGACCTAAAAGAAAATACTTCCTGCAAAGTGTGTTTGCAAGATCGCAGATTAAAAAGAAACAAGAAACTCTTTACTGAAGGCTTCTGCAACATAAGAATTTACTTGTATTTACTTTTTATTATACCATTTATTTTTTGCATCTCTTCCTACCTGGGACCAGAATACTGCCACTTCTGTTTAAAATAATTTCTTCCTCACTGTTTTGTTGCAAAAGTTGCATGAGAGCATAATCAAAATTCTAAAGGATACCTTCCCTGCAGCAATTCCCAAAGCTTTTTGGGTTACAATACCACATCTAGGCAAATAACTCTGTGAAATGCCCATATGCAAAGCTACCACCATTCGTAAGCCCCTTGAACAGTGGGGCAGGGGCTTAACCACAACTCAGCTGCTGTGTGGTATCTGCCATTGAGTGAAACCAGGTTAGTTTACCAATCAAACATGGCTAAGTTGCTTCAGTTTAGTTTTCATACCTACAGGGTAAGGGCAAACATAGGTTAGTTACCACAGAGTACTTGTAATACGGTAAAACTCCAATCACTATTAATTAATGGGAAGAATCAGGATAATTACAGATTACAGAGTATGCAGGATTGTAAACCTATGGCATGTTATTTGTAACGATCATGCCCACACTCAGGCTCACAACCCCAAATCTGGGAATTGCTACTTTAAAGGGTGATGGTCACATTTCTATTGACATTTACTTTTGTTAAAATGAGCTCTTTTGAAGATGTGCAAGTTGAACAGATTTAAGTAAAAGAAATACATTAAAGTTAAAGTTTCTGTGAGTTTGGTTTAAGGTCACCAGGGACAAGTTTAGTTCCACATATTTGAGGAGCGAGAAAAAGCAAAATGACCTGGTGGCAGCCAATTTCACTACAGAGATAAAATACTGGTCAGTTAACATGTAAACAGTGTAATAGTAAGTGAGATACTTACAAAGCTAGGCTACTCAAAACATATTGTACATGCTGCTCACATTCAGCTGGGAACGATACACAGGCAGATGTGAAACAACAAAGAGCTGTCTGAAGCACCTCAAGCTGAGGCAATGGAACCTGCCATCTTCCAGCATAGTCTTCAACAACCTAATGAGAAAACAGGCAAAGCTGTGTTACTAGAGAAAACATGCTCTTTGGTCAGTTGTCATAAAAATATTTATAATTTTTTCACATGGAGTACTTGGTACCTCACAAATCATTCCAAAGATGAAAAACAATAGTCTAATCCAGAGGTTGATAACCTAGGCTAAATACAGACAGTCAAAAAGCCCAACACTGAATCTACTCATTCTTTGCAAGTTAGTCTAAACTTCAGAGATTAAATTGACCAACAAGTGAACACACATTTACTTTTTGCAGCCACATGCCTGCAGTGACTACAGCACAGCTCTCTGGCATGTAACTAGCATGGGCTGTGTGTTTGCTGCTTCTTCCTGCTGCCCCCAAGGTCTCTAGGATTTGCTGTCCAGAATCACAGTAGGACTCTGCAGGGTTGCTCATCAGTTCCTCTTCCTGCTCCCAGGTGCCCCTGGGATTTGTAGTCCAGTTGCAGCCAGCAGTAAGTTTAACAGGACAGGGCAGTTCTGTATTTGGGGGTGAGGGTTAACCTCCCCCTCTCTGGCCCCAGATCCCAGCTGGGGTTTGCCAGGGGGAGGGGGGGCACTCCTTGCCTTCCCTCCCTCCCCCTCAACCCTTCTCTGCTAGAGCAGACAGCCCAGCCCAGGAATGGAAAGCATGCTGGGGGACTGAACTAACTTGAACCAGGTGCAGGTTAGAGGCTGGATCCAGTCCTCCAGGCTATTTTCATTTGACCTATGAAGCCCAGATTATCAGCAGCAATTTGACAGTAGCAGATTCCAAGTCACACGTGCACAGGAACAGCATTATGTGGCTCGGTACTAGGGACCAGCAGTCGTGGTTTGGTTACAAGTACTGGCCTGCCTCTGAGCTGTGCTATTTCATTCTGCCACACCTAAGAGGTTGATGATATCTAATCTAATCTTCTGCGCATGGTTTTCATTTCAATACAGCAGACATATACAGAAAAGGCCTCAATCAACATCCCCCCCTCCGTCTTACATCTGAAACAAAAATCATCACCTCCAAACTATTTTAAAAGGTAACGAAGACAAGGAGAAAACTTCATTTATGTTAGCAGTCTGGTAGTTATGCCCCATGCTTAAAGATGGGCTTTTTCTTTGAGAAAGGCAATAAAATAGTATAATCTATAACCAAAAAGACATGCCACTTTAAATGCAACTTCCAACAGAAAAAAAAAATAATATATATATCACGTGCCCTTTCTGCTCAGGTCAGTGGGCCTCTACTTTCCTTCAAAATGCTTCTTTTCCAATTGCTTTAGACCTCAGAATTAAAAGGTCCTTTTTCCATAAATCAGACAAACATATGACAGACTGAGATCTCTCACCATTAACTGAAAAGCAATGAACTTGAATTTTAAAAGAGCGAGCGCTCTTCCTTTTCCTTCTATATACTTTTCGTACTTCAGTTAACAGATTACAAAAAAAATAAATATATAGTGTGAATACTCTCTCTCTAGTTATCTGATTACTCTTGCTTGCTATTTGCTGCTCATGCTCCTAGTTCTGCAGTTATACATAGCATCTTCCGGCTAAAAATAATGTTGGGGGGAAGGGGTGGTGAGGGACAAGGGGGTTGAGAAAATCCCTCAATAAAGCATTTAAAAAGTTTTAGGTTTTTTCTGGACAGGACATTTTCCCCTCCTATGTATGTTACAATTTAATTAATGCACCAGAACTGCAGATGAAAAAAAAAACAAAACAAAACAAACAAACAAAAAAAACTAGAAAGAGCCCAATTAGAGAAGTAAAAATAAATCCAAGAGAGAAGTATTTAGGAAAGGGAAGGGAGGACATATATGTTAGAAATTATACTTAATAGATCTGAAGACTCAAAAGCACACAAAGTTAAAATAAAGCGTTTACAATGGTCTTGTAATCTTGATACATTTCAAGGGCCCATCTGCCAACAACGAGCATGTTACAGTTAAGTTTTCATATCCAGCCTTCATATTTTCTGATGGAACTAATGACAAGAGGCTCACATTCCAAAAGCAGGGAATGTAGACACACCACACGTACCAGTCAAGTATTAATTCAAAGTCTTAGCCAGTTGAAATACAGTGAGATGAATAATCATTGGCTTAATTTAGTAATCCTCAACCACGGTGCCAGAGCACTCTGGGGTGCCTTAAGATCCTATCTGGGTCAATTAAGTATTCATTTTGTTTTTCATACAACTCTTATTCTTTTAAAACGTTACACCATGTGACCAACCTAGATTCAATTTCAATCTATAAAAATTGAGATTATGTTCACCCTAATAAGGAACATAACTTTAAAGTATTAGTAACTTTTAGAATGGAAAGAAATAAGCAATAGGGTCCCCCAGGAATTTGTGTGGAGACCCATGCTGTACAATATAATCATAAATGATCTGGAAAAAGGGATGAGAAGTGAGGTGGACAAATTTGCAGATGGCACAGTATTCAAATTGGTAAAGACCAAATGTGGACCGTGAGGAACTACAGAAGGATCTTGCACTATTGAGTGAATGGATAACCAAATGGCAGATGAAATTCAAGGTTGATTTGCCCCACTTTTCAGCCCCTGGAAGTGTATAAAGTGCATTAAAAATCTAGGTTTGGCATTTGCGAATAGCTGAAACTGTGAATGCCAAACCTGTGAATAATGAGGGTTTCCTGTATTTGCACCCATCACACACTGCCTAATAGGTTTTAATCTAGAAGAATCTGAGCAGCTATTCTACAATAAGTCAGCAGGACAAACAACATTCAGACAGTGTTCACAGGCTGGCAACACATTTGGATATCCTACCACAAAGCTGGACAGAGAGAGAGAGAGAGCACCAGACCAACCAATTACTCAAACAATAAATAGTGTGCACTACGGGAAAGGCAATAGTGGTCATTTACAGAAGGCAACCATGTGCCTGCTATGTGTGGCAGGGACAAAAGGACTTAGAGTTGATCACTTCAGTGTTTCTAAATATAGTGCAGACAGACCCAAACTATGTTTAAAGCCACGTCAAATAAGGCAATGCATGAAGGAGAAAGAAGAAGGTTGTGTGATTAAGGTATAGGGCACTTTTAAAACACTCAGGTTCACTCAGTTACGGACTCTGCTCAGACATCTTGAAGTCACGCAACACCATCTCCATCGGTAAAAATGGAAATACTACTCCCATATATCACAAGTGCACTTCAGAAGAGCAGTTCCTTTCATCTGCAAGGTGTTCATCTGCCATTGATAGACAACATAATATTATAGTACTTGTATGATCGTAGGACTCGGATGCCTCAGGCAGGGACCAGGATATCCCAGTTTGCGCACCGTACAATTTCAGGACATCAAGGTAAATTTGTGAGCTCTTTAGGGAAAGGTTAAGTTACCAGCTAGATCGTTAGAGTAGCTAGATAATGGAATTTGAAAAACCTTTGTATGGATTCCTTTGAGTCTCTCAGAAATAGCATGCAATATTCCTGTGCAAGTTAAGGTATGCATGCACAAACCCTTGAAATCCTTACAAAAAAAGGGAACATTTTAAGACAGCAGTTGGTCCATTCTAATTGCTGTGTGTGAATAAACCGAGAATAATTCGAATGCAGCAAACCCACTCCAACTTAATTAGATTCCTCCTTCACCTTTAGGGACTGAACTGCTACAGAAACTCCACCAGGGAGTGGAGGGTTATCCAAACCATCATGCCTTTTCAGGGAGCAGAGGGGTTGCCAGATACCAAGAGGCTGTGTGGCCCCTTGGCTTTTGGCTCTATGTGCTCTGCTCCACCCCCATGGTTTTTCAACCCCTGCCTTGAAAGCTATGCTGTCAAGTTCCACCTCCCTGCCAGAAGTGAAACTTAGGGTTCAAAGTGTATTTAAAGATGGTTTCATCCACCTCCATCTGCTGATTTAAAAGGTCTGTAGCAGAGGCCTAGTATGACATCCTGCCTGCTCCGCTTCTCTCTGACCTTTACCCAGAGGCTTTCAATACACCTACTTTCCATTTCATACTCCACCTCTGAACACATGCATATCTTTTCCCCCCCCCAAACCTATCCTTCCTAAACAAGATATACTCAACAATAACCATACTTCACTCATGTGAACTCTTCCACCATGTCTCTGTAATCCCAATTACATCATAATTCTGTAATTGTACTAGGACCTTCCATTCTTCCCGTTTGCCCCACATACTTCTTGCGTTAACATAAACATTTCAAGCATCTGACTGACTGTTCCATCATTGTTAAGGTTCCAGGACATTGTTAAGGTTTCCATTATGGTTTCCCCCTACTGTTTTTATCCAGGTCTCCAGCCTCTTTACTCATCATCTCCTGATGACCCTAGTTTAAAAGCCCACCTCACTAGGTTAGCAAGCCTGTATGCAAAAACACTCTACCCTCTCTTCACCAAGTGGACCCATCCCTTCCCAGCAGTCCAACACCACCCCAAGGTCAAAGCAGCCAGAGCCCTGCCGGTGACACCAACTACACAACCATGTGTTGCTCTCTCAGGTGCATCTGCCTCTCAACAGGCTTTTACCCTCAACTGGAAGGACACACACACACACACACACACACACACACACACACACACACACACAC